GCGGCTGTGCGCGACTCCGTGTAAGTGGTTTAATGCACTTGCGTCTCAAAATGGTTTTATGACGCAAAATTAATGTAAACACAGCCAGTTATGTCTTAAGGGATTAAACGGACAGGACAAACCACATTACTTCTTATATTTCAAAAGAGATCCGTGCGTGAATGCAGCTTAATAGATCTCCCGCTGTCTATGATGTCATAGTAAAAAACAACAGTAAAGATGAAGAAAAATCACTCACAGTTCTTGAATGGAAACCGTTCAGATAATCTTAAATACTGAAAGCACTCTTTTTTTTGTTGTGTGTAATATGTTTCTATGCTCCTCTTTTATTATTTGAAACTTGTATGTTTTGAAGCTATATTAGTTTAAAATTCTTAACATACAACTGTTTTATTTTTTTTCCAATTTGTAATTATTTTAAAAAGTACTTAATTACTTATGTAAGGATATGTAAATGTAAGGATTTTAAGATTCTCAAGTCGGTAAACTAATTAATTAATAAGGGGGGAAAAAATTAGATCAAGAATCGTTCTGGCATCGGATCGTGACTCCCAGGATCGTATCGTGAGGTGACTAAAGATTCCCACCCCTAATACTGTACATAAAAAAGAATATCTAGGCCTATATGCGAAATAGATTATACTTAAATCATTAACAGGTCAACTAAATGAAAGAAAATATTGTTGAGTTTCGGTTCATTGTGACACGCTCCATAGTTCATGGAAAGAAAACCGAGACTGCAGAAAGCGGCATCCTGCTTGTTTTCGTCATTTTGCAAAAGCTTTACAGTTTCAAATGATGTCTTGCTTCTATCTGTATAACTATAAATTATGGAGTAACAGTTTCCTCTCTTAGAAGGTAAACCAATCCCAGTGATCACGCCGGCACCTCACACGCACACACATTTTTTTGCTAACTTGACATCGCAGCCTGTTCATTATCTAAATAAAATTTAGTTAAAGAAACATAAAAAGATACACTGCTCAATTTAAATAGTTCGTAGTACAATCTGTGCCATTCAGTGTGTTGGTTTGTGTTTTTAATATGTATTAACTCAATATTAGGGCTGGGTTTTGACACAAATTCCATGATTGATTCGATTCTCATTCACAAGCTTGCGATTCGATTACCGATTCGATTCAATATCGATTATTTTGGATATATATCAGGTACAGTACATGCTAATGCCTGAAAAATATACATGAGAGTCAGTTGGTACTACATTACAATAATATTGAAGGTTAAAATTGACTGATTTGTAGGCTATATAACTGCTTAAATTACACTTAATTAAGTTTTTATAATAATAAAGTTACAATTACATAATAATATTTCTACTTAAATTCATTTTTTTTTATATTAACATTTAAATGGTGGCTGTCATAAAAACTTGACAGATTTATTTAAACATAAATTAAACATGGAAGAACAGTAAAAATTATAATGTTGGTGCATATATTTAGCAAAATGCCCCTCTCTACAGGTTATTTTTCTAGCTGACTAACGAGTTTATGGTCACAGAATATGTTTGTTTCTGAGGTAAATGTGACGTACGTGACATTGTTTACAAGCCGTTATATTGACGTCTTTGCGTGGCTGAAACACTGATTGAGTGAATATATGAGACAGGATACGGATTATAAAGTTGTACTCTTTCTTTCAACTTGCCTTCGGATGTTTAGTCATGTTAATTTTGTGCTGAAACTGGTATTAAAGCGGAGGAGATTATCAGTTCGTCGGTTGAACCGAGTCACTATTAAACAGCGCCAAAACAGCATTTATTGTTTGAATACTGCAATACAATGGACAGAATTTGAAATCTGAGACTTTGTTTCATATCAAAAGTAACAAAACACAAAGCTTATTGCAATTTATTGGATGGGAGGTGCGCTTCAATGTTCCGTCCATTAACTGAAAACAGGCTAGACTAATCGATTCTTGGGATTTAAGAATCGATATCATTTCGTAAAAATGAGAATCGATTAAAAAATAGAGATATCGATATTTTTTTACCCAGCCTTACTCAGTATTACAGGTTTTTAAACGATAGTACCTTTTAAATGTCATGTTAGCTAATGGCTTTTTCTGGTTGTGTTAGTTTAGCAAAGTCATTTGCTTAAAGCTGCAGTCTCTAACTTTTTTGGTTAAAAATTATCCGAAATCAATATTTGAGCAAGTACATAACCAGCCAGTGTTCAAAACTATCGCCTTTAGCCCGATTCACAACGGTTAGCTTATAATAATGTTTTTTCATTTGAGTGGTACGGGTAGGTTTTCGCGGGAAATTCGAGTATGCTGCCACATCGTTACGTCACGTCTGTAAACATAAAGAAGTTGTTGGCTAGCTAGGCTATGACAATTAGAGATTAGACTGTACAGAAATTGAAATCTACACGCTAATGCACACTATACTCATAGATGTTGTTAACATTAATAATTTGAGAATAAAGTATAACAGTAATAAAAATTTGCACGGTTTGATGTGATATGAGCTAACCAATCTTTAGATTAAATCACCATTGGTAGCGCGATTTATTGTAATGCTTTTTTCCTCAGTTGGTCAGAACAAACGTGGCAGACTTGTTACTTGTTCAGATGAAAATATACGGTGAAAATTCTTATTTGGGTCATATATTCCAAGACGTAGGCTAGAATCTGAGACTGCAAAGTACAGTAAATATCCACACCAGTGCGGTGACTGACTGCCACACATACTCTTCAGAACATTAGATTCATCCACACTGGAGCCGTGCCTCCGCACAACCCACGCAAGGAAGATATTTCCGCACACAGCTGCAATTGCAGGTTTTCAAACAGATGGCGACAAAGAGGCAAAATTTACGGACTGCAGCTTTAAGTCTGTTACAGATATAAATATTCATACATGCGTATAACTAGGGTTGCAGACATACAGGCAATTTGCTCTCAAATGTTCACAAACCTGCTTTGAGCATTCCAATATGGTGGATGGCTTGCGTATAGCGGCCCATAGAAACAGCCGTTAATAGGGAATCTACCTATACATATCTATGGTTATAGCCTGTGAGAAGGATGATGTTACATTGATAAACGTGAGTGAAGTACAAAGCCTATAGGTTACATAATAAATAATATTTTAGCATCCAGATATGCTGTGAATATGGAAACATTTGGATTTGTGCCGAATGAGAGAGGTAGGCTTCGTTTTCGCGTTAAATTAATTCGTTTTTGCTTGACGTTCATATAATGAACTTTAGAGGATTTGTTGTGGAGAGAAGGCAACTAAAATTATCCTGTAGCTGTGTTTAATAAAATAAAACATTATAATATATAAAATATATTATTATAAATAAAACATTTTGCCTTATTTACCGGTATTTTAGCCTATGTTATTTCTGAATGTTATAATAAAATGCGACGTATTGCCTACGCTTAACTTTTTTTTTATCAATTTATCAATTGACTTCTCAATTTTATACGAGTAGTGTATATTTTTAACCATGCAGCAAACATTTTTAAATATCTTGGAAAAAATACTTTAATTTCTTTAAAAAGTTGACAGTTTTCAAAAAAAATTTGGCCAAAATTTCACTATAAAAGATGATGCTGTATTGGATGAGACTAGATGCAAGATACCAGGCTAGGACTCTCTGCAAGGTTTTTTTTTTTTTTTTTTGAGTGAAGAAAGCGCTGTACTTAGTAGTAGTAGTAGTAGTATTGGCAAATAAAACATTACCCGGTATTTTTTCTACTCAAACCGGTTTCGGAATGGTAATAATACAGACGGAACGCATAAACAGAAACGTTCAAATACTGATTGTGCTTGGAGTGAAACTATTTTTTTTTTTTTAGATTTTAAGCCCTGCTAAAAATTCTACATGTTCACACTTCTATCATACCTTATGTTTTTTTTTTTTACTTTCTTTTAGGAGGAGACCGCTCAGCCCAGTGGGAAGAAGCGTGCTGCTCCTGCGAGTGACGGCACAGAGAACAGCGTGTCTTCAAACCCCTCAGCAGGGTCACAGCCCCCTGCCAATAAACCACGACGCGGTCGACCCCCTAAAAATGCTGCGGGCGTTGCCATGCCAGATAAAGAGGCTGGAGCTACGACAGGAGGAGGGGCCGGACGGGGCCGGAAGAGAGCAGCACCTGCCCAGGATCCTGCCACCGCAGCCTCAGCTGATTCAATCAGTGGCAAGACACCAAAACAGCAGAAAGAAGCAGAACCGAAAAGAGCAGCGCCACAGAGACAGATTGACCTGCAAAGGTAACTGAGTGCAACTGAATGACTTTTTTGTATTGTATGCATAGTATTATATAAATCAACTGTAGTTTTATTGGAAATAAATCTGTCACTAGACTATCCAAGTTACCAGTGGGCCTGCATATGACATTTCTACGAATGCCTTCACACCAATTCTGGAAAACTTTTTTTTTTCTGTGATTTGTTTTCCAGTATGCTGAAAAAACTTAAAACCTGTCATATTTAATTGTTGGATGATGTTTTTGGTACCAAGAGTGCAAACAATAACAGCTTTGGTGGCAGAGGTAGAGGAGTGATGTGCTATAAAATGGAAAGTGTGGCCTTGGTTTCTTTTTCCAGCCATGCTAAGAAAAAATTTTGTTTAGTAGAAGTATATAATTATAGTTATTAGCATAATTATAATTTTTAGTATATAACAAAAATTATTTATTTTTTTTATTCTAATAATATATCATTTTAACTGTGCATTGTTATACACAACCATTCAAAAGTCTGGGCTCGCTAAATGTTTTTTTGAAAGAAAATTTGATACTTTCATTCAGCAAGACTTTTACATTTGTTACAAAAAAGAAAAAAATCAATTTTAAATTAATGCTGTTCTTTTGAACTGAAAAAATTTTACACAAATTATTTCTTATTAATATTATTTTAAACATAAGAAGTCTTTCTTAAATAGAAAGAAATGTTTCGGAATGAATGAAAATAGAAAACAGCTATTTTAAATTTAAATATTTTACATTTTTATAGTTTTACTATATTTTGAGTATAAATAAATGCAGTCTTAGAGGATTCTTTTAAAAACATCAACAGTCCAACCAACCCCAAAATTTAAAATGGTGTACTCCTGTATCCATCCAAGGATAGTGATGTTTATGGGGGGTTTTCAATTTATTTTCAAGTTAATAAATAGTTTATTTTTGTTAATGTATGTGAATTGGCATGGACGGAGAAGAACTTTGTTTGTGGCCCTATAAATTATAAACTCACTCCTATTTGTCAAGCATGTATTTCATTGAGCACATCAACGGCCAGAGTGCATTTTTAACTTATTCTTGCATGCAAATCTTTTTCAGAGAATGACACATTTGCATTTAATTTGCATCGATGGAAATTGTTTTTTTAATGGAACCTTGTATGTTACATACTGGTGTCAGACTTGGTGTGAACAGCCTGTAACTTTGTCATCTTCAGCTGTTATTGAAGTCTTTTATGTGAATTTGAGACAGGTGTTTCTTTTGTCTAAGATCAGTGAGGGTAGCACAGCGAGATCAGCAAGCGTCTCAGAAGACATATGGAAGTGAAGGGGAGACAGAGAGAGAATTTGAGTCCAGCCCAGAGTATGTACTCTCACTCACACAGCTACAGGAGCAGCAGGAAGAAGCCATTCGCAAGCAGTTCAGGGGTGCAGCGGGCCCCAAACAGAAAGAATCCACCTATGCAGCAGAGCAGGGCGAGCTGTCAGTGAGTGTCTGAGAGGGAGCCTCATTTAGCAGTGCGGTCACGCTGTAACCTTGAGCTCCTAAGCAGTTTAATTTTGTTGTAGCTATAAGCTTAGTGTAATAGTTCACCTAAAAATGAATTTAGGTGTAATTTACTTCTACCCTCTACCCTCATTTTGTTCCAAACCCTATGCTTTTGTTTTTCATGTTATAATAGGACAAATTTTTTTATTATGTATAGGCTTGTCTTCCATAAAACAGTAACACCATAAAAGTAGTATGTATGACTTGTGTTTTGTATTTCTTTTAGTGCTGTCAATTGAAAAAAAAAAAAACTTTGAAATTAATCGCGATTAATCCCACCTAACATTAAAGTATTTTTATATTGCAATAATTTCACATGCACTCTTCAAATTAACAGAAACAAAGATAGTATATTTTTAATATTTGTTAAGTGGCATCTTTTTTTTATGACTGAAGGTAAGCATCACTGATACCAATACTACAGCTTTATTTTGTTCCTTGAACAGACATCACAGCTGCTGGGTTATTAGGTTTTAGGCTGCTATTACTTTAAGAGCTGCCGCTGCTGAACATGATGTGGATCTGACACGCATCGTATTTTCGATGACATAACGACACTGCATGCTCGTTTCTTTCGCGCTTTAATATGGAATGATACAGGCTACAGTGCGTGCCGCCACATTTGTGCGTGCAATTGCAGAGCACATGCTACGAGCGCAGTAGAACGGCTGACAGGACAGGAAAATTCATTTTTACTGACATATGACCTGACAGCATCTCATCTGACAGCAGTTCCCTGTTGTTCTACTGAAGCTGTGGTGAAGTTGGAGTGCGCTTCTGAAAAATCTCCCATTTGATTATGTTTGGCAATCTTTTGGATTTTGAAAAGCCTGTCAACTTTTGCCATTTATCTAAGGCGATTTTGGAATCGTTTTTTGTTTTTTTAACATTCGTTTCTTATTTAATTGATTCCACGATGTTTGCTGATTTTTACTTTATTTAAACTTTGTGTAATTTATTTATTTTATTTGACATCAAGGTGTATACCGTGCCTCCAAGCTTTCTTATTCATTTTGCTAATAAACGTTCAACGTTTCTTATTTATTCTTATTCAGCCTATAGTATGGTGTATTTTGATTCGTTTTGTTAATAAAAGTTCTATGATTTATATATAGGCAAGTTTGAAGTTGTAATTTGTTTCTTGAATTGACGCTAATTCAAAAGTGAACGTAAAATGCACACGCCGCTTTTAAGCTATTTCAGAGCGAAAGAAAGGGAAAACTCAAACGAACTAAAAACAAACAATTGCTTTTACAAACTATTTAAAGCAGCACTATGTAACTTTTTTTGTTCAAAATTAGCAAAATGTATATAATGATCGAGTACATCATGAATTCATCTTCCAAACCGCGTTTTTGTCTTATTCCGAATCACTACGGTACACTTATAAGTACTTATATTTGGACTATTGTAGCCTGGTCGGGTCGTCACCGCTGCGGAGTAACACATACCTGCGTGAATCGCCATAGACATAAACTTAGAGAAGTAGCTCTGGTTGGAATTTTCCTCCGCGGGATGTGTGCAGTTCTGTTTATTAACCGCTAGAGTGCCAAAAGTTACATAGTGCTGCTTTAAAAGTGAAGGAACCTGCGTGAATCGCCATAGACATAAACTTAGAGAAGTAGCTCTGGTTGGAATTTTCCTCCGCGGGATGTGTGCAGTTCTGTTTATTAACCGCTAGAGTGCCAAAAGTTACATAGTGCTGCTTTAAAAGTGAAGGTAAGCGAGAAAAAGAGGGGAACCCCGCACCCCCACGGTGATACCAATATTACCGGTGTTGTCATGTCAATTAACCAGTGGGAAAATTTCCTCACCGTCACAACCCTACATACTCATACATCATACATACCTTCATACATCTCATTTGACCGCAGTTCACTGATGTTCTACTGAAGCTCCTCATCACCCGTACCTTTTCCGCACTCATTTGACTCGCTCCTGACGCTGAGGCGAAGTTGGAGTGCGCATCTGAAAAGTCTCCCATTTGATGTAGTCGTAAAGACATTGTGTCTAAATGAATGCAAATCTTGTCAAGAAATAAAAGACAGAAGCAGCAGTTGTGAGTGGGGTGACCAACCCTAGCTCTGCCCCTGCATTAATTGTGTATTTTAACACCATTAAACTGGAAAAATTAATCACCTGCATTGTAGAAAGCAAAAAAAATCATCTTAAGCACACAGAATAACATAAGTGGACTTTGAACGATTAATTGCCGCTTTGAACGATTACGTAATTGTGGCATCCATAATTGTAATCGCGATTAGAAATTCGATTAATTGTGCAGCCCTAACTTGCATTAAACGCGCTAATTTTGACAGCACTAATTTCTAAAACATGTTGTTACCAACTGGAACTGTCTTCCATTTTAATATATTTTAAAATGTAGTTTTCACCATAATGCCATTCTCTGCTGTAAAGTAGGTTGATTGATTGATTTATACATTTTTCTGGTTTCAGGTAAAGCGTCGGTGTGTGAAGACAAGGACGGTCAGGCAGTAAAGGATTGAGTGACCCAATGAAGAGACGCATCCACTTAATACATCAAACGCTCTTCACAAATCTGAACTGTCATTACCCCACACCTCAAAACGAATGAGGAATGAATTCTTTAGATTCAGATGTTCAAACTTATATGTAGAAACACAGACCTGTTTCTCTTCATTCGTTTTATTCTTTTTTTGTTTTGTTGAAATTGTTCGCGTTGCTCTTTGCTTCTCTGTCCGGAGCCATTTTTAAAAACAAACATTTGAAAGAAAGAAAAAAAAAAAGTTTTAATCTGCTCTAAGGATGCTTATTAAATACCTGGAAAGTTTTTTTTACTGTTTAATCTCCCTCTCCTCTTTTAATCCTCTATTAAATCCAAATACTGTCCTCAAATTTCTTTGATTGCAAGGATTTATTGAGGCTCATGTTTTGTATTCAGTTAGTTTAACTCTATAAATTTAAAGTGCAAAGACTACAAGACTGTATGATTAATAATGCTGCTATTTATTCTGTTGGGTGTACGAGCATGAATTCCTCATACTGTTGCAAGGGGCACCTTGTCGTTGCTACATTGAGTTTGTTAAAAATCAATACTAAATATTTAGAAACATGTTCAAAATTCAGTGTTCAAATTGTTTCAAACCTTTAAATAGAAAAAGCTGTTCAGTTTCATTTTTCCCCACGTTCATATCAATTCCCAAGCTATTTTTAACATTTAAATTCATTAAATGATATATGCATTTCAAACACGAGTCCACTTAAATTTGACAACCTACTGATGTAGATGTCCTTACAGGTGTAGAGCAGAGATTCACAGATAACACTTTAAAAAAAAAAATCTTTTATTTTTTTTTATTTTTTATTTATTCAAAAGAATGACAGTTTCACAATAAATAACCATGCTTGTACGGCTCGAGTAGGTTTTTTTTCTGTCGTGTTTTGTAAAGAAGCTTAAAGTGACTAAAGCCAGAGCCCGTGACCTGCATTTCTCCTTTGACAGAAGTTTTTGTCCTTTAATTCACTTCTTCGTGCAATATTGAACAAGGTGATCACTACAGGAAGACAGTCTTTTTGTTTTTGGTTTCATTTTTGATTTTCATACAAAATATAAATCCAGCCATCGATGGTGCATTCTAGAGATGAACAGTACTTTATCCCCTCTCCCCCCCCACCCAAAAAAACTCGTCTGTATGTACATGAGAAAGGAGGTGTATGAAAGCAGCTAGCTGTGAAAGTGGGGGCATTTTGAAAACAGATGTTATGTGGGATGCTAGCAAATTGAAGTAGAGCACATAGCAAAGGGAGAAAAGAAACGTTTAACAATTCATCCCTGCAAGAAAAGAACAGAACACTAGGTAAAAACAGGTTCACAAAGCATTGTGTGGCAGTACTCGCTCTTGGCCCGTTTGCTTTGAAGCATCTTTGTTGACTAGAAAACTCTAGCTGTTTGATTCATGCTTGCAACATCAGTTAAGTGCAAAATATGAAATTATATCTGCAGCTTGTGAGTGGAAATCAGAATACAATTTTGGTATGATAAGAAACGCACCCCACCTCACTCTCAGAAACCCTTTTAAACCTCCACATCAACATACTTTGATGCCATACTGAATGTCTCACCCTACTGACTGTTCTACAAAAAAGCCAATCATTTTAAGAAAAACTCTTATGTCTTCACTTTCTCATCTCTACATGTACAAAATGTTTACACTTAAATGCAAGTTGTTTCATACAATACATTCTTCAAAAAAGAAAAAAAAAAACGAGGCAACTCAAGGTATATCTGTCCGTTATCAAGTTGCAAACCCCACAGCTGCCTTGAAAACAAAAAGAAAGGGTTTGTGACCACCAATCCTGCATCGTCCCCCTTTTCAAAAAGAGGGAAAATGAAAGAGGGCAATCTTCCTTTAATTAAAAAGAAAAATAACACTTCACCCAGCAAGTCTGAAACTGTGTCTGCACTCACATAACACCATGTCATCTGGCCATATCAACTACTACACAGACAGATTAGTGCAAAGAAAAGCCAAAAGAAACATTAAAAGAATCAAATGAGCAAATAAAATCACACATTTGTTCATTGTAAGAGAGCGTCAAATAGAAGGGGTATTAATAATCTCAAGATTTTAGTTTTTATATGCTAAATATCCCATTCTAATAGGCATATCCCAAAACATTTTTTTATGGTGTACAGATTGCAAAAAAAAAATAACATTCCTGCTATTTTGCCTTTTAAATGTACACAACCTTAAATATACTAATTTACATGTACTAACATTGTCTCACAGATGCAAGTGGGTGTTTCTTTTAGCATGAAATGACGGGGATAGAGGCTTTGTCTTTTTTGGGTTTCTTTAAAAGGGAAGTGGCAGCCTAAATTTAAGAGGAAAAATGATTGTAGCAAGGCAAAAACTGGGAGTGAAAATGTTGGGAAGAAAGGGATGTGAACATTTGCTAAGAGAGACAGAAGATGACTCCGAGGTCTCGCTGTCTCTTACCCAAACATTCAGTCTGAACACAACCCAGAACCGGTGATGCATGTGTGTGTGCATGGTTGGTTGGGTGGGAGTGGAGGGGTTTGAGGAAAACATGGCCTGATGAAGAGAACTGGATGATCAGTTGCTTAGTAGCAGCTCTGTAGCTGTCTCCACGTCCCATGATTTCGAGGACAAGGCTACTATTACTGCATTCTGTTTGAGAGAGACAAAGACAGAATATAACATTTGTAAGCAACAGTAGATTTGCTGAATTGCTTCTTAGATGACGCTAACAGTTCACTAATTTGACTAAATATCACACTGAAAACAGTTCAATGACAGCCATCCTGACAAAACAGAACATTTTTTGCTCATTCAATATAGCATAAAGTGCTACTCCACAAATCAATTAAACTGAACTCAAATTTATTTGAAGGATTATTTCATTATCCTTTCAACAGTGCCTACTAAACGGTATTCTGCATATTTTATACTACCATTCAAAGGTTTGGGATTGGTTATTGTATCGTTTATACTTTTATTTAGCAAGGATGCATTAAATTGACAGTAAAGGCACTTTTAACGTTACAAAAGATTTTTTAGATGAAATGCTATAATCATTTTAAGCAGCACAACCCTTTTCAATACTGATTATTTGAGCACCAAATCAGCATATTAGAATGATTTCTAAAGGATCATGGAAGACTGGACTAATGGTTGCAGAAAACTCAGCAGTTGTTTTCAATTGTAATTCTTTTTTCACTATTACTGTTTCTATTTTTGATCAAATAAATGCAGCTTTGGTGAGCATAAGAGAATAAAAAATTTAAAAAACATACACAAGCAAAACATATTACCAACCCCTAACCATAGTGTATTTTCTATACGTGAAAACATTTACCTAAAAATAGGGATTCAATTTCATTGTGTAATACATGTCTGAGTGTATATGTCACAGACTGTCTAGGGGTCGGCAGCCTTTTTGACATACAGTGGGTACGGAAAGTATTCAGACCCCCTTAAATTTTTCACTCTTTGTTATATTGCAGCCATTTGCTAAAATCATTTAAGTTAATTTTTTTTCCTCATTAATGTACACACAGCACCCCATATTGACAGAAAAACACAGAATTGTTGACATCTTTGCAGATTTATTAAAAAAGAAAAACTGAAAAATGCTCAGTATTTAGTAGAAGCACCCTCTTGATCTAATACAGCCATGAGTCTTTTTGGGAAAGATCCAACAAGTTTTTCACACCTGGATTTGGGAATCCTCTGCCATTCCTCCTTGCAGATCCTCTCCAGTTCTATCAGGTTGGATGGTAAACGTTGGTGGACAGCCATTTTTAGGTCTCTCCAGAGATGCTCAATTGGGTTTAAGTCAGGGCTCTGGCTGGGCCATTCAAGAACAGTCACAGAGTCGTTGTGAAGCCACTCCTTCGTTATTTTAGCTGTGTGCTTAGGGTCATTGTCTTCTTGGAAGGTAAACCTTCGGCCCAGTCCGAGGTCCTGAGCACTCTGGAGAAGGTTTTCGCCCAGGATATCCCTGTACTTGGCCGCATTCATCTTTCCCTCGATTGCAACCAGTCGTCCTGTCCCTGCAGCTGAAAAACACCCCCACAGCATGATGCTGCCACCACCATGCTTCACTGTTGGGACTGTATTGGACAGGTGCCTGGTTTTCTCCACACATACCGCTTAGAATTAAGGCCAAAAAGTTCTATCTTGGTCTCATCAGACCAGAGAATCTTATTTCTCACCATCTTGGAGTCCTTCAGGTGTTTTTTTAGCAAACTCCATGCGGGCTTTCATGTGTCTTGAACTGAGGAGAGGCTTCCGTCGGGCCACTCTGCCATAAAGCCCCGACTGGTGGAGGGCTGCAGTGATGGTTGACTTTCTACAACTTTCTCCCATCTCCCGACTGCATCTCTGGAGCTCAGCCACAGTGATCTTTGGGTTCTTCTTTACCTCTCTCACCAAGGCTCTTCTCCCCCGATAGCTCAGTTTGGCCAGACGGCCAGCTCTAGGAAGGGTTCTGGCCGTCCCAAACGTCTTCCATTTAAGGATTATGGAGGCCACCGTGCTCTTAGGAACCTTAAGTGCAGCAGAAAGTTTTTTGTAACCTTGGCCAGATCTGTGCCTTGCCACAATTCTGTCTCTGAGCTCTTCAGGCAGTTCCTTTGACCTCATGATTCTCATTTGCTCTGACATGCACTGTGAGCTGTAAGGTCTTATATAGACAGGTGTGTGGCTTTCCTAATCAAGTCCAATCAGTATAATCAAACACAGCTGGACTCAAATGAAGGTGTAGAACCATCTCAAGGATGATCAGAACAAATGGACAGCACCTGAGTTAAATATATGAGAGTCACAGCAAAGGGTCTGAATACTTAAGACCATGTGATATTTCAGTTTTTCTTTTTTAATAAATCTGCAAAAATGTCAACAATTCTGTGTTTTTCTGTCAATATGGGGTGCTATGTGTACATTAATGAGGAAAAAAAATTAACTTAAATGATTTTAGCAAATGGCTGCAATATAACAAAGAGTGAAAAATTTAAGGGGGTCTGAATACTTTCCGTACCCACTGTAAATAACTTGCCCTAAGGGCAAGTTATTTGTTTTTCAATTTTTTATTTATTATTTATTTATTTTTGCCCTACGGGCAAGTTATTTATTTTTCATTGGCTCAAGTTAAAAAAATATAGATGTGAATCATTACCAAAAAAATTTTTTAATTGGATGAATGAAACATTTTTTTCAGTGTA